GTTTACTTCATCTCTTGCTTCATCTTATCAAACATTAAGTCCACAGGGAGTGATTGACACACTGAGCCCACCTGTTCTCTCTGCAAAATCACAGTAATGTGTGTGTGTGTGTGTGTGTGTGTGTGTGTGTGTGTGTGTGTGTGTGTGTGTGTGTGTGTGTGTGTGTGTGTGTGTGTGTGTGTGTTTGTGTGTGTGTGTTGCCTCTGCAATCAAGAGAAAACCAGCAGTGATGGAACACACAGAGGTAGGAAGTGACTGAAGTACTGTACTTAAGTCAAATGTTGAGGTACTTGTACTTTACCTGGTTATTTCCATTGAATGCTAATTCCTTCTAATCCACTACATTTATTTAACAGCTTTAGCTACTTTTAACAAAATACATGTCTTAAAATGTAACTTATTATCTATTTAAGTCACAAAAGAGTCAAATATTTAAAATATTTAACAAAAATCATTAATAAAGAACTCTCTAGAACAGTAAAATGTTACTTGATGCAACATTATTATGTAGAAATGTCACATGTATAAATATAATTATATACCCACATAAAGGCAATTTTTCTGCACAATGATTACTTTATATACTTTAAGATGACTACCAAGATTTTGAATGCAGGACTTTTCCTTGTAATGAAGTATTTTGACAATAATGTATTGGTATTTTTACTCAAGTAAAGCAGCTTCTTCCGCCGCTGGGAGCACAGAAATGCAAAGCAAACACAAAAGAGTTCATACACAAATCAAAGGCACAAACTCTGAAGCGCACTGTCCAGGGACATCTTGGTGGGGATTTGTATTCAGGGTCAAGGAACACATTTAGGATTACAGCCTCTTCTTCTCTCCACAGCCGGATAGTGGAGACGAGCTATATTCACCAAGTCCTATCTCGTATCCGCATCCCCGCAGGCTCATCCATCTCCATTTCCCTCTGCCTGTCGTCACGTCTCCAGCAGCAGCTCAGCCTTAATCAATATCCTTACCAACAGCAGGGTAGACCCCAGACCCATATACAGTACCTGTCTGTTAAACCTTCAGGACCCTCCCGTGCCTTTGCTCTAAACAATCGCCCAACTAAGGAGAGGTTGATTAAAGAGAACTTGATTATTTGATGGTTTACAGCAAAAAGGAGAGAACATTGATGGGGATGTAAGATGTAACAGTAGGTTTTAGTAACTTGGAAAGAGGAAATAATCAGAAATATTTTAGTTTTTTCTCCTTTGTTGTACTATTTGCACATTTAGTTTGTGCAATACATTAAAAAGGCACGTTTTAGGTACAAAATTAGTTATATATCCTTTTTTTTAAATTATTGTTACTTGGTTGTACTTTCCCCTTCTGATGCTAAATTTGCATTTAAACTGTATTTCAATTTAAAGGGGTTTCTCATGCTTTCAAATGATGCCCAGTAATTTATTTTACTTTAAATGATAATATTCTGTATTATTATAGATATTATTGTAGATATACATATTTCTTCACCAAATATATTTTATGTCAAAACATACAGGTGTAAAACAAACAGCAATTACCCGTATTAAATGTAAAACCATTTTAGAGAATTGTTAAACAGTAATTGTAACAGTTACAGAGTGAAAATGACCTTGCATTGTGCTCTCTTACAACTTTGCAACTGATTGTTACCAAGTAATTTAAATCACATTCCTACTAGGCCTTTATAATATAAAGTGTGACCGAGCGAGGAGGGAAATTAGTCTGTGATTTCTCTCTCTGTCCCTCTCTGACAACGGCAAGCTAATTAAAATCTGGCATTTCATATTCACGGCTAATTAGCTAAACGAGTTGGCAGCTCCTGAGTGTACTGCTCTTAATTAAGCCGGAGAATTTGAGTTACACCTTTGAAGCGGAGGTGTGTGTCTGTATGTACATTGTGTGTGTGTGTGTGTGTGTGTGTGTGTGTGTGTGTGTGTGTGTGTGTGTGTGTGTGTGTGCTTGCATCAACAGAATACTCATATTGTTTTGTGCCCTGGCATTTTCTGAGCAGCTGCCCTTTGTCTCAGTAGAAGGTAAAGGTCATTTAAAGCTGCGTGTACGTACTGTTCACTAATCCCATAGTGTCTGCACGCCTGTTTCATGCCTGGCTAATTATCAAGGGGCTATTATACTGTCACCTATTTAACGCAACCAAGGAATGAACATCCCACACTTATTAAAAACAGGTGATGCAGAGGTACAAACTGTGGGAACATAATTTTTGACGTAGAGTACCAGAGAATTGTCAAATGTTTATTATTATAATTGTGAAATACAAAAAACACATTAGTTATAAAAGAGAGAAGTGGAGCATAAATCTCCACATCATTGTTTTACACACTTATTTGCTTGTGTATGAAATATCTTCTCTGTGGTGTAAGACTCAGGGATCTAAAGAGGAGCAGGAAGAAGAAGAGAAGGTGAATATAAAATAAGAAGAGAAAAGGAAGGTGACTTTTCTCTCCTGTTCTGATTCTCGTAATCTCAGCCAGGACATCCTCTTTCATTCTTACAAGATTCCCAAATCCTCGATAAATCCACAGCGAGTCATTGGCACACCGCAAACCCCTGTCTGACTTTCTTCAATCCTTCAAAGCTCTCAGAGCCTCTCTACTTTCCTGGGATGCTGTCGGACGGCTGCTGAACTAACTGCTCGTTCGATATCCGTGCATCAGAAGTACCATGAAATGACGCAGGAACTAAGAATCCATGAGGCTTATTTTGGCTTGTATAAATTACAAATGGTTCATACTTAACATCACAGGTCCCCATTTAAAAAAATATATTATAGCGCTTAAGAATGATTCTGCATGCATCAACTAAAGAATGAAAATAAATAAAGATATTCTTTCCCACTGAACCCAAAAAGAACTGTTTTTACGTGTTGTTTGTTTACTACGATATCTCGATATGAGGAATCAAGAAACTCCAACATCCATGATGTGAAAAACATCTTTGTCATGCCCTCTAAACACCCAAATCTTTGATAATAAGCTAACTATTTCATTATAACACAAATACTGTATATGGATGAAGTGTGTTCTCATAAAAACCTGTAAGCAGCAGCAGGCTTTTAGCTGTAAGGAGCAGGATAACATTTCCATCTGCTAAATAAAGGCCATTAAGCCCACTAGCTTCAGCATCAGCATCAATTCCAAAAAATTTTTAAAGCATAATGCAACCTCCTCTTGAGTCTTTTTGAACCCAGACATCTTACATACAAAATGAAACCTTCCAGGAGTCCTCTGTAATGAATGGGACCACATGCTTCCTCAATAAAGAAGTCTCATGTGGAGTTTATAAGGGGGTTAAAGGGTCAGTGTGTTCTCTTCTGTCTCTCTTTTGTCATTACCATAGCTGTTTAAGCCTTTTTAAGGAGAAGGAAAAACAAGGTTGTGTTTTAAAACTTTGATATAAGGTTTTCAGCTGACATTGTTCAGAAAGATTGTCTCTGTGACAGGAAACAAGTGAGAAAACAGACACACAACTACACTAAACCCACACCAGACACACACACAGCCTTGTGTCATAATAATGTAATAAACTGCATGTGCCATGTGTTTGTGTGTTGAGTCGAGGATACTATCCGTCAAACACTATTGGCTGCTGAGGCTGGAAGGCTCTAGTCCACTAGTTTCTGCAGTGTGTAGATTAGCAGGCTGCCAATTTGGCGCAGAAACTCATACAGCCTAATGGACACGGACACACACACACACACACACACACACACACACACACACACACACACACACACACACACACACACACACACACACACACACACACACACACACACACACACACACACACGCACACACACACACACACACACACACANAAATGGCTTGGCAGAAGAAATGGCTTCATATTCTTTGTGTTTTGTTATCGACACAGTTTTAAAAATGCAATCTCCATGTTTTTGGATATTAATATCGATCGTTTTATGGATGAAAATATGTATCATTTAGCACAAGAAAATATATGGTCTTGATACCGTTCAACAATTAAGAATACATTGTTAAAATGTATTGTTTGCTGTCTCCCTGCAGTTATTGGTGAGCTTTAAAATTGTGTCAAGAATTTCTGGTAATCTGTAAATTACCAGCATGACATGAAGTATACTATAATAAATTGTTTTAGTTACAATACTGAAACTTAAAGTTTCTATTTTACAATTGAAACACTATTACAGTACTTTTTAAATGGCACTGTTTTATAGTTAAAGTACTATTACCTTAAACAAAAATACAATTCAACAAATAAAGTAATGAAATATTACTGTTTCATTTTACAGTTAAAACACTATTACCATAAACACAAATACAGTGTTTCATTTTACACTGTTACTGTAAATAAATACTGTGATTATCTTTACAGTATTTAACTGGCAGCAATTGACAAGTTACTTACTGTAAAATTAATTACAGTAAGTAACTTGTCAATTGTTGCCAGTTAAATACTGTGAATTTCACGGTACGTTTCTTACAGTGTAGTGTAGCCCAGACTAGTGAATTTACAGAGGGACTTTGTGCCAACATTTCTCCTCTAATGAAGAGCACGTTCTCACTCTGCCTTTCACTGCAGGCTCACAGAGGACTGCTTTATTGGTTCATATCTGACTGACTGCTGCAGCCACAGGGGAAGTGTGTATGTGTGTGTTCACACAATATTAAACCCTCACAATATCAAACCTTTCATACAAAGATGAGAGACAAGTTGACGGAGAGAGAGCAAACGCCCTGAGGCCAGATATGCACATGGCAATAAAAGAGTTCACTTATTCAGTTAATCTTTTGGCATATTTGACAGAATAAGGATCAAGGAGGTGAAACTGGCTTCATTTAAAGTTGGGCTGGTAAAATATCTACTTAAGTATCTCAAGCAACTTCCTGCTGTGAGATTTGTTTAAACAGACAGCTAGAGAGTGCTTTGCAAGGGGTTTTTCAAATCAGGAAACATGACTTTTATGACTGACATCGGATGGGGAAATTAAACCTTCAAATGCCTGCCTGTGTTGTGTGTGAAGTGCTTGACCTCAGTGTCTCTACGCCTGATGGCAGTTTCATAACCTGGGGGACAAAAACATAGGANTTAAACAGACAGCTAGAGAGTGCTTTGCAAGGGGTTTTTCAAATCAGGAAACATGACTTTTATGACTGACATCGGATGGGGAAATTAAACCTTCGCCTGCCTGTGTTGTGTGTGAAGTGCTTGACCTCAGTGTCTCTACGCCTGATGGCAGTTTCATAACCTGGGGGACAAAAACATAGGACAGACAATAAACAAAGATTCAATGTTAAATCCCGGGGCTAGCAGCTGGATTGTTTTCAGCTTTGAGGCATGCTGGAGATTTAACAATGGCACTTCTCCAGGGTGCTTCCACCATTTTTTAAAGCCAAATGCAATGGTTCTAGAAATGTATTCGGCCTTATATCTACAATGTGGAGGTTGTTTCAACAAATAATGAACAAAATGTTTGAGGATAAATTACAATTAACTACCACCTCCAAAACATCCTC